CATGGAATGCCAGTTTAATAGAACAAAGTGTTCTTGCATTGAGGGAGTACTTGAGTGGAGGCCCAATGTCCTTCTGCTACCTTAATACTAAACCTATCCATATATGCATGCAATTACTTTTAAACTGTGGACTAACAGGTGTAGTTTTCACTGTATGTCCAGAGAGTGGAAAGTACTGTCTAAAATGTATGGAAACAGATAGCCCATAGGGAACTGACACTGGTTATGAGATAAGGAGCCAATTCCTAGACTTATGTGATTTTTGTGGGTGTTTTCTCTCTTACTCTGTGTTATTCAAAGTGGTTTGTTGTTGTTTTTGCTTGCTTGCTTATTTTGACCAAGACCATTCATGGGCTATACTCATTGTGGGTTTAAGCTGTGATTATCACCTTTTAATTTTGGGTTTTCTTTCCCTCCCCCGCTCAGTTAAGGTGAACTCTTTGAAGATGATGGGTACAAGAGAGAGGATAGGGATGGGTCATGAAAAACTCTGAAGGGAAAATCATAATACATTTAACTCCCGATCTTGCTTTCTTCCAGGTTGAAATTGTAACACATACAGGACCCCACAGACGTCTGTGGATGGGTCCACAGTTCCAGTTTAAAACCATCCATCCGTCAGGCCAAACCACAGTCATTTCATCCAGTTCTTCCGTGTTGCAGTCACATGGTCCAAGTGATACTCCGCAACCCCTTTTGGATTTTGACACAGATGACCTTGATCTCAACAGTCTCAGGTAGGAAATAAGAACTAGGGAGTGATTTGATTGGCAGAAGTACTTTGTGTGAGTGTTCAACCCTCCCCCTGCCTGCCTTTGGCACAGTATCCTATTATAGACTTACAAAACTGTTCTTTATGATTCACTGGAGAATCACAAAGAAATGAATCTCTCTCACATTTGATAAATATGCATTTTGATAATATTTTTCTAGATCACATAACTAGTGCACTTGTAAAGCCACCACTTCTCTGATGCCTTGCTCCTATTTCTAATTGCTTCCTGTTTGATTACAGGCTTTTTTTTTTTTTAACATTTTATTAGGGGCTCATACAACTGTTATCCCAATCCATACACACATCAATTGTGTAAAGCGCATTTGTACATCGTTTCTCAAAACATTTTCTCTCTCCATTTAAACCCCCGACATTAGGTCCTTTTTATCTAGTCTGATGTTGAACATCATCTTCCAATTCTCATTCATCTGTGACTTTCATCTAGTGTTGCATCTTCTTATAAATGACTTTAAATTATATATGTATGATTTGAATGATAACATTTTTGGAAACTGATTGTGGTCCCAAATGTACAATTCTGCTGGACATGATTGAACTATGGAATGATTTGATATATGTATTAATCCCAATTAATAAAAAAATAAGAAAATAAAATAAGAAAAAACCCAGAACTATCAAAGACAAAAATTAATCTGACACAAAATCAGCAAAATAACATAAAATGACATCCTGTTGAGAGGAGTTACATAAAATTTAGAAACTTTTACATCAATCAACTGGCTTATGAATTTGTTTCATTTGTAATTTCCATTTAATAAATTGAAAATATAGGACGTTGGTTAAGACTAGGTTCTATTATCCTTTTAATGGGAAATAACATGCGGCTCTAAGTATCCTTCTTAGTAGCCTTCCCTTCTCAGCATCCAATTAGAAAGCCTAATGCTTTTCATTCTTGTTTACCATTCCTCGACCCCAGCTCCTTACCTCCGATTCGCCTACATTTCTTTAGGTCTCCAAGCACTAGAACATTGGCCTTTTTTTCTTTATTAAATTGTGAAATCCTTGTTGCCTAGCTAGCCCTGCCAGGATGCCATTCTTCATCCTAGCCAGAATGACGAAGAGGCAAATATAGTGCTTGGTTTGTGTATCCATAGGGTTGACTTCATGGCAGCTCCTTGCCAAGAACAGAAATTTAAAGTGTGAAAAAGCAATGAAGGATATGGTAATAGACCTGAGAAACAACCAACGTAAAAGCAACAGCGCCTACATTTTCATTTAAGAATCGCTCTAGAGAAATTGATTACATCTATTAGTTTGCCTTCAGCTACAAGGAACATTAAGTCCAATTTATTTTATCTTAATTGAGTGTTATG